GTGAGTATTCAGGGAAGGGACTTTTTTTTTTTCCTAAAGATGAATTTTAGACATTGCATACATATTTCAGAAAACTTAACTTTGTAAAGGTCAGATGCATTTAAACAAAGTACGTGGATATTGCTGTGGAAAGGCCACGAGCAGGAGGTCGCACAGGGTAAATTTACTTCAGGGGAATTGCCGTAAAACTGGGCCTGAGGGTCATTCTTGCAGGCTCAGCAAGTGGACCGTGTCTGTGTGCCCAGAGCTGGTCAGACCCTCTCTCAGTGTGTTCAGTCAGACTGATGGATAAGCCGGAGTGACAGCAATACTAGTTGTTCCTGGAGCACATGCCTTTCTTGTGACAGGAACTCTTACCTCACCTCTTCTGGATATCCCCATTCTTGCCATCAGGGGACTGGGAGTCTTAGAAAATGTCAAACTTGTCTAGAGGCTGACAGTCAGAGCAAGCCATCCTGTTCCTGCTGCATGCCGGGGGTCACCCACTAGCGCCACGGCGTCCATGTCCCCAGCCTGTATCCCCTCCCCACACTGTCAGCCCTGCCTTTCCACCTGCTGTTTTTGGTATTCTGTTTCTGGCCCTTAGCGGGAAGTTGAGCTGCAGTCAGGAGCTTGCACTGCAGACAACCACCTGTGCTTGTTTCCCCAGTGCGCCAGAGTGGAATTCCATAGATCCCAGGCGGAAGGAGGAGCTGGACAAGAAAGCCGAGGACGGAGAGTTCTGGTGAGAGGGTCCACTGGAAAGCCGTCCCTCAGCTGTGCATCTGTGCCCAGTCCTGACGTAGGCCAGTCTCTAGCCTTCTGGGAGTGCGACATGGTTCCCAGCCAGGGGCTTTCATTCCCTTCCCCTTTTGCACGGGTGTAGTTCCACCTCTGCACCAGCATGTCTGAAGCACTGACACCGAGACAGTGGCCCTTGACCCAGCTTAGCTCTCAGCCAGTCCCCTCAGCTTCTTCTGTCTTTCCAATGATCTGAGAGCAGTCCTCCTCTCCTCTTGAAGCTAAGACTTAGGGTAACTTCCTTCGCCGGTGGGCTATGGTGACCGTCACTGAGGATTGAATAGGAAGAAAGCTCTCGTGGCCTGAGACTTAACCCAGCCCAGAGGCCGCGCCTTTGCTCAGAGGACCTCCTGGGTCTCCTGGTTTACCGTTCAGACTCTGCATGGCTGTTTAGATATGTGAGGGGCTCTCTGCACACCCAGAAGCTGACACTAGCGAGGAGTTTGGGCGGTAGTCTCTGCACACCTGTGTCAGTGGGCTGTGGAAAAGGTTAAAGTCCCCACGCTGCCTGTGCCCCTTCCTATGCCCAGGGGGCGGCCTTCGATCCCCTCCAGCCCAGCTCCCCAGCCTGAACCTCTGCTTGCTCTGCCCCCAGGATGTCATTTTCGGATTTCTTGAGGCAGTTCTCTCGCCTGGAGATCTGCAACTTGTCCCCAGACTCTCTGAGCAGCGAGGAGGTGCACAAGTGGAACCTGGTCCTGTTCAACGGCCGCTGGACGCGGGGCTCCACCGCTGGGGGCTGCCAGAACTATGCGGGTGAGGCGAGCAGCTGCCTGGCCCGACCTCCTCCCGGCTCATCCTCCCCGACCTGGGTGACTTTACCTGCTAATCTTGGGATGATGTCTTTGGACCTGGCTCTTGGGCTCCTGGGCACCTCCTGGAGGCACTGCTTCTCTCCTGGGCTTGGAGGCCAGGATGGCGAGGGTGGGCAGTGGCTCTGCAGATGCCTACCTTGGGCCTGCACTCAGCCTCTGTGTGTTTGGACCTGCCCTGCTTCACACACCTGCCCCTGCCCACATATGCTTCCTGTGCTAACCCTGCTCTGGCACCAACGCTAAGGCCTCCTGTTCCTCTCTGGGTCTCCGCCAGCCCTACTCGCCCTGGCTGGCTGACACTGTCTTGCTGAGCCCTGGGACAGAGTGGCTGATGGTGCTGCTTAATGGGCGGCACTATCACAAGAGCTGCTTTGCTTTGTGTTTGCGCCTGTGTTGAAGGTGGAGGTGGGACAGTGTGTCTGGGACAGAGTGGCTGATGGTGCTGCTTAATGGGCGGCACCATCACAAGAGCTGCTTTGCTTTGTGTTTGCGCCTGTGTTGAAGGTGGAGGTGGGACAGTGTGGTTCAGGGTGGCCACATGCATGGCCACATGCAGGGTATGGCCCCCTCCCATGGGAGCCATCGGCCCGATCCCTGGTGGGGATAGTCTGTTGCCACCCATTGCCTCTACACTAACCTGGGGCCCTCATCTCACCGAAGGTGGGAAGTCTTCCCCGGTCACAGAAGATCACCAATACAGGCATGTATAGGCTCCTCCCAGGGTGAATCAGCCGAGGCAGCACCTGATGAAGAAACTTCAAAAACGACCCCACATCTCTAAGGAGAAATAAAGGAAAGCAAAACCTGCTGTCTCCACTTTTCACCTTTCAGTCCCCACACTCCCTGGCACCGGGTTTGCTCTGGACATGTTGACTGACTTAGACTGTAAGCGCAGGGGCAGGGCTAATCGCTTTCTTCTCTAGACAGAGCTCACGGCAGGGCTGTGTTCTGTGCTGTGCAAATGGTATTATAATAAAATCACACGTGGGTTCAGTCCCGGGATCTTGACAAGGTCTCTCCTCCTTCATCCGCCTCCACCCTAAAACTCCTGTTTCTGGCAGCAGCGACCAGAGTGCTGAGCAGAGAGACAGGAGGAGTCCATATCTGCCCCTGCTGTTCAGCTTAACAGCTGTGAGACCCCAGGAGGGGCACTGCCCTTCTCTGAGCTTCAGTTTCCTAATCCTCAAAATGGGGCAATAATTCCCACCTTCCAGCCTTACTGGGCTGCAGTGAGCAGGGTAACATGGAGTGTAGTGAAGCGCTTTGTAAACTGTGTAGCGTTATATAAATGGAATGTGTTATTTTTATGGCCCATTCTCTTCCTCCAGTACCATTAAGGAGTAAACAAAAAATGTAGGGATTGCAGTAATGTTGCATGTGGGAGAAATCAAAATATGCTCACCATTAGCAAGCTCTTAGAATATGCATAGGAAATTTGCATGGATCATTTTGGGAACTCAGAACTGTAGGGGGTGCCCAGGGCTTCTGCATTCACCAAATCACAAACCCATCTGTGCAGCCAGCCAGCTGTCAGGAAGAAACGAATTGTTCTTGCCCTTCAGCAATGATGTCAGCATAGAAGATTATTACAGAGTTTTCTCTGTCTCCTCTGGAGTCTACAAATATTTGGCTTTAAAAGTCATACACATGTGTTTAAATAAAAAATCTGAAAGTGGAGATTCTGGGAAGGTAGAATTGAAGAAATAATCTTACTATTAAGAAAAAATAGTAATCAATGGCACTTGATTATTATTTTTTAATATTAGAATCAACCTGTGAATGCCGTGTTATTTCATCAAGTCAGACTCTTATGTAGAGGACATAAAAAACTCCTGTCCCCGCCCATGCCTTTCTTCCCCTAGGGCACATCATTATGAAATTGTTGAGGCCCTGGGGTGGAGACACCTGTCTGGCCTGTCTTCTTCAGTCATGCTTGACTCTGTCATAGAATTGCTGTGTGCCCTTGGATGATGCTTTTGACCTCTCTGTGCCTTGGCTTGTGTAATCTCTATTTTGAGAGATTTAAAAAAATGTTATCTTTGAAATGAAGGAGTCTTTTAAGATATCCATAGGTGGTGTGGCAGGAATGCTTCTTAATTGCCAATTGTGATTCCTTGTGCACTATTAAGTGACTTTCTCTGGAAGGGAGTGTGTCTCGTCAGTGGGCTGCAGCACTGATGCCATTGCGTGAGGCCCCTGGGCTGATGGACAGAGACAGTTCTCAGGGCTGCTTCGGGTGGTGACCTGCAGCTGGGGCCCTCACTGAGGGAGAACATATGCCAATCAGATGGCAAGGGCAGCAGTCTTCATGGCCTGTTGGGCAGAGGCCTCCTTGGAAGTTTGTCTGTTTGGCAAACTTGTCCTCATCTGTCCCAGAGACATGCTTTTTACTCAGAAGTCTGTCTTCCTCCAGGAGGTGGGTTTGTCTCCACAGGCCAGGAGCCGAGACAAGGTGCTAGTTGTTTCCCCAGGAAGACTTGGAGGTTTCTGCCTAGGGCAGTCCTGGGATTATGGAATCTTACATATTCCCAGTCAAGCATGTCTGGGCTCCTGGTTGTTCAAACGGACAAGCACAAACTCTCCAAATGCTGTGGGTGGGATGTGTCTGCTTGTGCGTGGGCGGGTGGGGGCAGGAGGACACGCCCGACCACTTGTAAAGGACACTTCCTAACCTTGCTTGCAAGGCACAGTTGATCGGAGTTATGCTTTCACTGTGATGATCATTCCCTTTCATTTTATTCTTTTCCATCTTCTCACCCCCATGGCTTCCCCATGGTGGGGACCGCCATCACCTGGGTGACCTCCAGCCACTTATTGGACCAATCCCCAGTTCAAAATCCATTTGGATGAGGTGGACGAGGACCAGGAGGAGGGCATTGGTGAACCCTGCTGTACGGTGCTGCTGGGTCTGATGCAGAAAAACCGCAGGCGGCAGAAGAGGATAGGACAGGGCATGCTTAGCATCGGTTATGCTGTCTACCAGGTACTGTGGAACCGGGCTCGTCCTTTACTGTCACTCGATGTCTTTGGTCAATATTTGGACCAGTAATTAGAGTGCATTTTCCCCATTCCTTGAGTATTCCTAGTCAAGTTTTGTCCTTGGTTCCCTAAAACCCTCTCCCAATGGTTTTTTTTTTTTAAAGATGACTGGTAAGGGGATCTTAACCCTTGACTTGGTGTTGTCAGCACCACGCTCAGCCAGTGAGCAAACCGGCCATCCCTATATAGGATCCGAACCCGTGGCCTTGGTGTTATCAGCACCGCACTCTCCCGAGTGAGCCACAGGCCGGCCCCCCAATGGTCTTATTAAGGCCTAAGTTCCACAAGGAGAGATTCATTCGTATGGTTTAATCTTTTCTGTTAACATTGAGATGTGAGATTCATTAAACTTTGCCTGTCACTGAGGGCTCAGTGTAAATGTGTTATTAGACTCTTTTCCAAGTGCAGTATAGGCTTCTCAGGGGACAGGAGTCAAGAACACAGGGGCACAAGGCACTTGAAGTGACACAAAGAGGGTAAGGAGTGTCACTGAGTGGGGAAGGAGGCTGATTATAGGAGCCAAAGACAAACACCACCTTCCTCCCACTCTGGGCAGCACTGAGACACTTGGGACACACAGGATGGGGTAAGGGGAGACACATGACCATTTTTGGTTCTGGCGTCTCTGGATTGGGGTCTCAAGTCAGAGTCCCTAGCTCAATATGCCACTTTGCCCTGGTAACCACCCCTCTGTGGATTTCACAGCCTCATAGATGTGTTAAAGCAAGACCTTCGTGTCTTGACAAGCCTAGGCAAGAACAAATCATAATCCACTTTTTTATACAGGAAAAGACTCTTTATAACAAATTCCAGAGGGATTCATAGGGGTTGTTTTTATATGAGTTCCTTGGGAAACATACAATTTAATTAGGAAGAGCAAGAGCTGGCTGGAGGCCCAACATCTCAGTATAAATTAATGCATGAAAAAAAGTATTGTAATAAGAAACCAGTAAGAAAAGGTGTAATTGTCGAGGTCATAATCCCCCACATTCCCCCCATGATAAACATGTTCTGGAATTTAGGGCTTTAGAGTTTAGGGTGTGTGTGTGTGTGCGTGTGTGTGTGCTTGTGTGTGTGCCTGTGTGTGCCTGTGAGTGTGTGCCTGCCTGTGAGTGTGTGTGCCTGTGTGTGCCTGTGAGTGTGTGTGCCTGCCTGTGTGTGTGTGTGTGTGCGCCTGTGTGTGTGTGTTTATTTTATGTCGAAAGAATGAGAGTTGGAAAACAATTGTACTTGATGGCTAGAGGAAAGAATTGCAAATGAATAAGCTCCCGTTCTACTCCAGCTTAGCTCTTCCACCCCCACCTAGAATGGGAATGGCACAAAACCAGACTCTCCTTCAGGGATAAAACCCAAGGCGCTTAGTGGTTGCATATCAGTACAACAGACTTCGGTGAGGAAACATACAATTTAATTAGGAAGAGCAAGAGCTGGCTGGAGGCCCAACATCTCAGTATAAATTAATGCATGAAAAAAGTATTGTAATAAGAAACCAGTAAGAAAAGGTGTAATTGTCGAGGTCATAATCCCCCACATTCCCCCCATGATAAACATGTTCTGGAATTTAGGGCTTTAGAGTTTAGGGTGTGTGTGTGTGTGCGTGTGTGTGTGCTTGTGTGTGTGCCTGTGTGTGCCTGTGAGTGTGTGCCTGTGCACCTGTGTGTGTGCCTGTGAGTGTGTGCCTGTGAGTGTGTGCCTGCCTGTGAGTGTGTGCCTGCCTGTGAGTGTGTGTGCCTGTGTGTGCCTGTGTGTGTGCCTGCCTGTGTGTGTGTGTGCGCCTGTGTGTGTGTGTTTATTTTATGTCGAAAGATTGAGAGTTGGAAAACAATTGTACTTGATGGCTAGAGGAAGAATTGCAAATGAATAAGCTCCAGTTCTACTCCAGCTTAGCTCTTCCACCCCCACCTAGAATGGGAATGGCACACAACCAGACTGTCCTTCAGGGATAAAACCCAAGGCGCTTAGTGGTTGCATATCAGTACAACAGACTTCGGTGAGCACCTGCTATGTGCCAGGTGTGGTGCTGAAAGCTGGGGACACAGAGAGGAGCCCATTCTTCTGTGGAGCCTGAGGATTACTGCCCTCAGTGTGCTCACAGTCTGCAGTGAGAATCAGACTCACATTCAACTGACAACAGGGAGGGTCAGAGCTGCTACAAAGGGACCACCCTGCTGGTCTGGGGCTCCTCAGCTTCACGGAGGAGGAGACTTTTGATCAGAGCTTGGAATGGTGAGCTGGATTTCAGAGGTGGAGAAGGGAGAGGGAGAACACTCCAGCCAGAGGGGGCACGGTGCACTTCTCGAGAGCTCAAAAGTAAGTAGTTGTAGAGAGCAGACAGTGGGCGGGCAGGGCTACATACAGCGCAGGCTACTCAGGGAACGTGGCCACCGGTTCTTATCCACCAGGCCTACTTTACAGATCAGCAAAGCATTCTTTCAAAGGGACATGACCTAACACACTGAAATAGCTTTGTGTGGCGTGGTGTTTGCTCTCGTAAATAATATATGAAGTTTTTCAGACGTCACGTTACAGCTGCTTATAAAATACTCCAGTGTACGTGATCCGTAGTCCTTTTCCTTATGGCTAGAGGCATATGATTTAGAGCATGACATCTGTGAACAGAGGCAGTTTCAAAGTTGGGCTGAGGGTTTGTAAGGAGTAGCTGGGGTTGCAGGGAGTGGGCGTGCGGGGCTGCATGGAGACCATACTCTTACCCCTATATCTCCCTCCTCTGGCTTTGACTGTCTGAATCTGGAGTCTGGGTTGAGGCTGAAAACCTGCCACCGATTGAGAAGCAGCCAGAATCCCCCAAAGGCTAAAGAGCCTTCCTTGTCCAGCCTCCTCAGGTGCCAGGCCAGCCTGTCACTGGCACTCAGGATCCTGCATGTCAAATATGACCATCACATTCCACCCATCTGTTGGCGGCCACGGGGCCTGCTCTCCTGCCTCTCTGCCTGAGTTTGTGCCACCGACAGGCCCTGCCTGCCTGGCTCACTTCCTGCTGTGAATCTTTGTAGGGTAAAGTCAGAGCACACTGACGGCAGCGGTTAATGGAGAGACTGCTGCGATGGTTAGGAAAGTCCACTGAGGGTGGAGAAAGGCTTTTAGGCTGGAGCAGAGAGGAAGACACCCGCGAGGCCTCTACTTTCCCTGACAGCCACGGCCTCTGCATGTGCCATTCTGGTTGTACACTCAAAATTAGAGGAGTGACACTGTATTAGTCTGTTTCTGTTGCTTATAACAAAATACCTGGAACTGGGTGATTTGTTTAACAAATGACATTTATTGCTTACAGTTTCAGAGGCTAGGAAGTCTAAAGTCCAGGGAACACATCTGGTGAGGGTCTTTTTTGGCGGTGGCTTTACAGCAATGCAGGGGTCGCACATGGCAGAATGGCTAAGGAGAGAGAGAGAGAGAGAGAGAGAGAGAGAGACTGTCACTTGTTCTTCTTTTAAAGCCCACAGAACCACACCCGGACCATTATTCATCCATTCACTATGACATGGTCTCAGAATCTAATCACCTCTTTGAGGCCCCACCTTTCAATTACCATAATAGGATTTCCCACCCTCTTAGCACTGTCACAGTGGGGATCAAGCCTCCAACACATTAAACTGTGGGGGGAGGGCCGGCCCGTGGCTCACTTGGGAGAGCGTGGTGCTGACAACACCAAGTCAAGGGTTAAGATCCCCTTACCGGTCATCTTTTTAAAAAAATGAAAATAAAAATAAAAAAATAAAAAAACTTTGGGGGGGACACAATTCAGTCCACTACAGACAATACCCTGGACTTTCTAGCTCTGCTGCCAATGAGGAACAGGGGCTCTGGAAGCGAGGAAGCCAGCTCACCCAAATTTTCCCTGCTGTTTTGTTTCTCAGAATTTTAGGTAGTTGCCCATAGACCCAAGCCACAAACAATGCCTGTCCTGCTCTCTGGTCAAAAGGGCCCACGTGGCAGAGGCAAAGTAGGGAAAAGGACAGAATGGGGATTTGAATTCTCTTCTCTAGTCTAGGCCAGAAGTTCTGGGCATGGTGGGCTCCCGCTCTGGATCTGAAAGCTGATCTCTGTGGGAGTCAACATTTCCAATTGCAAATAATAGAACTTTCCAGCTCATGTTACCAAACCAAGGGAAGCAAGGGATCTTGGGACTCAGTTGCTGTGAGGGCTCTTTTTCTTTACATCTCCCTCTAGTGTTGATGCAATTGTCCTGGTGTAGATTTCTTTACTCCCTAATACCACCAGCATGAAGAAAGGGGCCCCTTCTCTTACTTCCAATTCAAAACTCCTAGAGAAGTCTGCGATAGACTTGGCTTGGGTCACATGCATATTCTTGGACCATTCACTATAGCCAAGGGCAAGATGAATTATAGGCCAAGTTGAGTGAGATCTCCCGCTCTGGCCAAGTCCTTGATCTGGAGCCAGGTCTGTGGGTCTGTAAGATGTTAGCTCTCATTTAAGCCCCAGTGCTATTACTTGTGAAGTGTGGAATACTGGTAGATTATACAACTAGAAAACAAAGTAAAAAAAGTAGAACCTTCCTCTCCTCGAATTTCTAGGGCTCAGTAGTCTATAGATGGCCTTGAAATTCATCAACAACTCTCCAGTTTCAGAAATGCTGACCAGTTTCTCACTTTAGCATGAACGTCCTCCCCAGTGGCCAGAATTGCACAGTCTGTTTGCAAGATGTCGGAAGAATTGCAAAGGTACAAGGACCTTGGAGCTCTCAGGTGACCCTGCCCTCTTCTTCTGCCCTGTAGGTTCCCAAGGAGGTATGTGAGTGCTGACAGAGATGTCCTTCCTTTGGTGAGAAACAGCTTGGCTGCCGTGGGGGATGGGCACCCAGTAGCACTTGCTTCCTGTGGTGGAAGCCAGGTCTCCCACAGACTGTCACATGATCCAGAAGGCTGGTAGCCCCAAGAGGTGGTAAAGACCATCTCAAATCCCACCTGCCAGGCGCCCATGGAAGAACAGTGGTGACCTTTGCCCCCATATGCCTGGTGGTCTGGTCTGAACAAGATGTTGATAGTACACCATAGGTTCCTATTTATCTGTCCAACAGAAACAAATGCCCTGATCTCTGATAAGAAAAAGAAGCACTCAGCTTTATCTTTTTGGCTCTCAGCTCTTCCTGTGCCTCCTTTGTAATTTACAGCTGGGTCGGAGAGTCATATTGTCATTGTCATGCTTTCATCTGGGGTTTCCTGCTGCCATCTCAGGCTTCACCCAACTGGTTGAAGATATGATCCCCAGGCAGCAGTCCTGGGCAGGGCTGGTGTGGCTCTCCTTTAGAGTGCATCTTGGTTGGCCACCAGCACAGTAAGGCCCCAGTATTAGCCCAGGGGTCTTCTCTTTGGCTACAATCTGGGAAGACCAGGCTGCATCCTAGACTAATTGCATCAGAATCTCAGGAGTAGGGGAACCCAGACATTATAGGTTTATAAACTCCCCAGGTGATTCCAGTGTGCAGTCAAGGTTGAGGACAACTGGTCTGTCAGTGCTCCCCACCTGGAGCCAACTGCACTAATTACGTACAGGCGCATCTGCCCTGCTGCAGCCTTACCGCAACTCTCCCAGGTTCGCAAGCTTGGCCAGCTATGGAGCATGTGCCAGCAAGGCCCACATTTACAGGCTCCAGCCCATGCCATGGTTCAAGGCTGCAGATTACTGGTATACCCTGCTCTTGGCTCACAAATGCATGTTATTGATTATGGAGGGAAGAGAAAAGGAAGTGTGGGTGATTTAGAGAATACCTCTCTAATACTAGAAAATAATTAAAACCAAACCTAAGTCCAGTTGATGGTGGTTCCCCTCAGGAAAGCCCAGCTTCTGTGAGTGAGAGGTCATATGCATGCACAGTGGAGCTTCCACCAGCAGCACTTCACACCATCCTCAATGTGTCACCGTGAGTCCTGTGCTCTGCAGATGCTGGTGGGTCTTCAGATCAACGGCTGTCAAACTCGGACATGCCTCAGAATTCCCTAGAGGGCTTGTTAAGGCACATATTGCTTGGCCCTGTCCCCGGAGGTTCTGATTCTGTAGGTCTGGGTGGGGCCTGAGAATTCGCATTTCTCACAAGCTCCTCTGGATGCTCATGCTGGTTCTGGGCCCACACTTTGAGACCCACCCTCAGCTACTCCTGCTCGACCTCCGTCCTGTCATTTGCAGCTGAGCCAAGTCAAGGGAAGGTGGAGATCAGGAACCTTATAGTGTGGCCTCCTTGGGTCCCTGGTAGGACAGAGGGGACCAAGATCTTGCCTCAGTGTCCTCCCGTTCCTGCTCGGGCCTCCAATGAGGATTCTCTAATCTGCCCCACCCCTGGGTTCTTGATGGAACCCAGTTTTCCCCTTTCCCAGCCCAACCCAAATTGGAGGTCACCTCTCCATTTCAACTCTGCTGAGTGTTTTCTCCTGCTGGCGCCCTGTCTCCCCCTCTTGCTGTCAGCAGGGATGGCGAGGACGATGTTTGACTCATGACACTTAGGCCCCAGCATGGCTTCACTGCCCATGCCCCCCAGCACTGCCCAGAGTGTAAACATTTGCAGGGGGAGCCCCAAGCACTGGGCTGTGAGTGGAGTCCTGGCTGGGGGGGTGGTCGGCAGCCCTGCCCACCTTCCTTGCTCAGCAGATCTGTGACCCAAGGAAGGTCCGGTGAGCACAAGTGGACGCTGTCCACTCTGGGGTGGGCGCTCCAGCTCCGGGCCACACAGAAGTCACAGCCTTCACAGCTTGCCAGCACCTGCCCTCTGNCCATTTCAACTCTGCTGAGTGTTTTCTCCTGCTGGCGCCCTGTCTCCCCCTCTTGCTGTCATCAGGGATGGCGAGGACGATGTTTGACTCATGACACTTAGGCCCCAGCATGGCTTCGCTGCCCATGCCCCCAGCACTGCCCAGAGTGTAAACATTTGCAGGGGGAGCCCCAAGCACTGGGCTGTGAGTGGAGTCCTGGCTGGGGGGTGGTCGGCAGCCCTGCCCACCTTCCTTGCTCAGCAGATCTGTGACCTAAGGAAGGTCCGGTGAGCACGAGTGGACGCTGTCCACTCTGGGGTGGGTGCTCCAGCTCCGGGCCACACAGAAGTCACAGCCTTCACAGCTTGCCAGCACCTGCCCTCTGTCACAGTCATCTCGATGAAGATTGATCATAAAGACACAGTGCCACAGGGCGGCTTAGTTACAGCAATGATAACGCCCATTCCTGTGTTTTTCAAGCACTCTGCAGCCACTAATTAGCCTGTGTCTTACCCCAACAGCTTCCCTCTTCCCCCAACAAACAGGTGGGTCACGAGTAGCACCTTCCCTTTTCTGGGGAGAGCCACGGTCTGAGCAGGCCACCCTCTCTGCCTCCTGCAGAGTGGCCTCCTCAGGCTCGAGCCTGACCCCCTGCTCACCTTGCAGAGCAACTTTCCGAGATAGACAACGGTGAGCAGGCCGTTCTGGTGACATTTGCTTGAGGACCAGTCTCGAAGCTCACTCTCCAGCCTCGGGCCTGAGCTGGGGAGGTCAAGGCCATACACCCAGGACAGCACAGAATGAGAGTCTGTTGGATTCAGGAGGACAGATATCCAGAGAGAAGCCGAACACACTCTAGAAACCCTGCTGCTCAACCCTTCCTGTAACTAGGGAGGCCCAGAGGGCAAGCGAGGGGTCTGGCCAAGGTTACAGAGTCCAGGTCAGTGCCTCATACACCCCATGACTGCCACACAGTGAGCTGAGGCAAAACCCAAGGCCCCTGATTCCCAGTGCAGAGTAAAAAGCAGTGATCGCTAACCCAGCTCGCTAAAGCCGCGCTGCTCGGTGCTGCTGGGCAGGGTTTAGGGCCAGACTGAGCGCTGTCGCCCTGTGCAGCTGCAGGGTCACGCGGACGCACACCTGGGCCGGGACTTCTTCCGGGAGCACCCGGCCGCGGCGCNTTCTTTCTTTCCTTTATTCCTTCCTTCTTCCCTCCTTCCCCCCCTTCCCCCTCTTCCTTCCTAGCAGCCAGTTATGAGTGAGAACATGTGATATTTCTCTTTCCTTGTCTGGCTTATTTCACCTAACACAATTTTCTCCAGACTCATCCATGTTGCTGCAAATGGCAGAATTTCATTCTTTTCCATGGCTGAGTAGTACTCCATGGTGTATATAGACCACATTTTCATTCTCCTTTCATCTGTCGATGGACACTTAGGTTGGTTCCACATCTTGGCTATTGTGAACAGAGCTGCAGTGAACATGGGACTGCAGGTGTCCCTTCGACTGATGATTTCCATTCCTCCGGCTATAGACCAAGCAGTGGGATTGCTGCATCGTATGGTAGCTCTGTCTGTAGTTGTTTGAGAAACTCCATACTGTTCTCCACAATGGCTGTCTAATTTACAGTCTAGGGAAGTTTTCTTTAAAAAAAAAAAAAAAAAAGGTGAAGGCTGGAGAGAAAGGGCCAGTCACAGCCTGCTTCTTAGAGGGTTTCCCACCCATCCAGGAGGGCACGTGAGGTCCAGAAAGCAGGTTCTAGATGAGAGCGCCACTTCCTCCCCTTTAAACAGCCACACGCACACCCTCCCACACACACTGCACACCCATATACTCACCCCACATGCACACACCCCACACACGTACACACACCCCATACAATACACTCCACACATACACACTCAACACAATCCACACACATCACACACCACACATGTACATGCACCACACATACTTACACACAGCACACACACACTCACACCTTACATCACACACCACACACACTACACACACACCACACAATACACTGTGCATACACACACCACACACTCCACACACATCACACACCACACATGTACGTGCACCACATACACACACATACGTGCACCACACATGCACACCACACACACTCACACCTTACATCACATGCCACACACACATCACACACACCACACACATGCAGACTTACCACACATGCACACACACCACATATATATACACACCACACATACATGCACACACACCACACACATCACACATCCACACACCACACATACATAACAAATACCACATACACATGCACACCCAGCACTCATACAGCTCTCCACATCACACACCACACACACACCTTACATTACATACCACACACATCACACACGCCACACACACACCCCTCCATATCACACACCACACACACACACCACCACCCCCACACTCATCACACATCACTCATCACACATACACAGCATACACCATACACAGAGCACATACACCACACATACACATACACACACACTATGCATAAACATGCACTATATATACTACACATGAACATACATTACACACCTCACACAGACACATCATAGACACTACACACAAACACACATCACATACAACATACACATATCACACACCATACACACTGCAAACACCATATGCACCACACACAGCACACAGTACACACAGTATACCACTCATACACATCACATATATATCTCACACACACACACCACATACATACACCACACGTCACAGCACATAGTACATACATGAATGCATGCAGGGGCTCTGGTCTTGCTGGTTCATTCCCCAGAGGCCATTTCAACAGGGAGCTGGGTTCTCAGAAAAGTGGTAACTAGGGGAAAGATGGGGAGAGAATTCCCCAGGAGATGATCCATCAGGGTGAACATTCTAGAATCCATGAGGGGACAACTGAACTTGGAAGCTCTTGTCTCTGATAAAAAAAACTCAGGGTGGGGTGGGGGTTGGGAGGTGAAGGGGCAGGATCCTGGTCAATGATTCAGTTTATGCAGTTTTCGGTAAGAACTGAAGTCTTGGGTGGGAGGCCAGTCCTGAGAAGGGTCAAAATCTTCCTAAAAGAACCTAACCATTAGCTGTACTCTTTACTGACTTATATTTGGTTTCTCTCTTTCTTTGTATTTCAGGGAAGTTGGGGATGTGGTAGCTGGAAACCCACATGAGGTATGCCGTCTTTTAGTACACCAAACTCTGACACTGTCATTGGGTTTCTTTTTTTTTATTGATTCATCAGAGTTCTTTATATGTTAAGGATGGTAACCTTTTATTAGTCATGGACATTACACTTTCTAGACTGTGGCTCTTCTTGATGAAGATGAGACAGAAGCAGCACTGGAACAGGCTTTGTAACGCATCCCCCTCCCAGGGGGTCTCAGCATCACCCACATTCAAACAGCGGGACCCACAGATAGAGCACTCACTGTGGGAGAAATAGATCTGGTGCCGTGCTCTTGGAGGACACACGATGGTAGCATATGAAAAAGGAGGAGGAAAGTGCATGTCAGAAATGGACCTCAACATGCATGCGTGTAGTCCTAGGGTGCTGGAGCGAGCAACTTGCCTGGGAAGGCCCCAGGGAGGAAATGAGTTCAGAGCAGACTTTGCAGGAGGAAATACACAGGGTTTGCTGTGTAGGTTCACCCATCCTGCTGCCTTTATCCCTCACTTGTGTCCTCAATTTGCCATCCTGTCTTGTGCAGTGGCAGCATGTTGGGTGTTGCTGCTCCATGAGGGCCACATCCTGTCCGTGGCCAGTAGGCACTGGCCCAGGGGTGGGGCAGGACTATCTTCATGGGGGCACAGGCTCAGCTCCCACCCTTCCCTTCTCTCTACCCCAAAGGGTTGAGGAGTCACTGGCTGCAGGCGCCACTCAGAGCACCCCCGGCTGCTGAGTTTGCCATCTTTGGCTGAGTAGAGGGTGGGGGAAGACATTATGTTCTGTTATTTGCCATTTCAAATTTGTAAGCTCCTATTTCTGCAGATGCATGAGAAGTTGCCAAATAAGGATCCATTTTGTTCTGGGGGTCTGTGTCCTGAGTCTATCAGATAGAACATGCATGACCCCATCGTCTGTTTTTTCTTTTTCCAGTTAGCACCTGAACTAATGTGATTGCTCCCCTGGGACTAGGTGCACAGTGGTTAAGCCAAGGGCCCGTAGCACCTCCTGCCTTGAGTCAGAGGCAATGCCTGGCACCAGAGGCCCTTTCCGTGCTTGTGGCTCATGGTGATCTGAGCTGGTTGGAATTCTCCCTCCTGCCCCTTGCCCCAGTTGCAGCTGCCAGCTCAGCCTCCTCGCTGCCCCCGGGAGGACTTACCATTCGTAGTGGCATCTCTTACTATAGGTCCCAGGTATATTAGAAAAGCCATAGTTTGCCAGTGTGGAATATGGAGCTGGGTCTGCAATTCAGGTGGTGAGAATTATCCTCCTTCCTTTTTTTTTTTTTTTCCTGCTAAATCATCTTAAAACTGATTCTAAGTCTCCATCACACCAGGTTGGCAGGAGTTCTGTCCCAGTCACTCCCCATCTCCACCTCCCCATCTTCACCTCCCATGGCCTTGGGGTTTCCTAAAGCCCCAAAGTAATAGGACATCTCTTCTGGTCATGGGTCCACACTGGTCACCCTGTGGTCAGCTCATTGGTTTCTTCGGGTCTGACAGCTGTGGGGCTTCTGTACTCAGCCTGGGGCTTGCAATCTTTGGTGAATTGGGAGCCCGTGGGTACAGGGTCATCCTTTCCTTCCAAGATCCCCACCCAGAAAGTGGCTAGTATTCCAAGGCCCTGTGGAAACTCTGCCTTTTCTCTTTAAGGCATACGTCCTCTGACACACACAGACACACACGGACACACACAGACACACAAAGACAGACAGACAGACACACACACACGGAGGTAATGTCTTCAGGGAACCCAGGACTTTACAGAAGACAGGAAGATCCATTGCCTTCAAGAATTTCTGTGTTCCTCCCTCCAGAAATCTCCAAGTTGTGGACAAAGGGCCTGACTGCCTGCTTGGAATGGGGGAGGGGAAAATACAGGATGAAAAACACACTCGTGGAATTTAGTTGTGTTTACTTTGAGCAGGGTTGTAAAGATGTCATCAACATGTGATATAATGGGGCCGGCCCTGTGGCTCACTTGGGAGAGTGCGTTGCTGATAACACCAAGGCCACGGGTTCGGATCCCACATAGGGATGGCCGGTT